CAAGAGAAAACTTTATTTGAGTTCATTTCCTCTTTTCTCGAAACCTTGAAACTCTGTTCAATCCTATCCATATCGTTCATTCTCTGAATCTGTAAGAAGTGCCATACTTGTGAAAATTTACTGCATGATTAAATATGACTCACAAGCACAGGACAAGGATTATCCAATCCCAAATAATGGATAAAAGAATTAGTCGCAGATTGTAAACCAAAAAATGATGGAAAAATAGGAGAGCTCTATGAAATCATTTTCAGTTTGAGTGATCACTCTACTGAGTATTATGATTCCCCTCGTTGACCTTTTTTGGTTACCTTATCTTTTTGATAAATGTGAATGTGCATCATTCCGTATCCATACAGGGAGTTAATGTGTTTGAAGGTTATTACCCCTTGTAGGCCTTAACGTTTTTGAATCCCTCAGGGCTTTCACCTCACAGATATACTAAATTTCTTCCACGACTGTAAGATATTATTGCTGTGGAAAATGGCATTCGGGAGCCACAGCAGCTTTCAGGCGATTGTGTGTGCGGCGGCAGTGCGTGTCTTTCTGTGTTTACACTGAATTTGGGCCTTTTCATTGTTTTTCCTTCCATGTCTCAGTGGAAGAACAGGTTTGATTTGTGAACTGCTAGTTGGTGATGGTAGGTTGCGTAGCTCTGAGGTCCAATTAACTCGTCACGCAACAGTGCACGCCATTAGGAGGTGCAGGTTTGGGCCTCTGCAGCGAGCACGTGTCGGTCTTCTAGCCTGTACTGTCATATTCAGAGGGGAAATGGGAGGAATTTTATGACTGTCCTTGGCTAGTTGGCTTTCTCTTTTTATATTCATCTTCATCCCCAAACGTGAAGGCACTTGCCTGAGCATTTCTAATATACTCAAGCTGCCTTCTGTCACCGCACATGTCTCGCAAAGCGAGGTGCATCCTTTGGAACAAGACAGAACTAAGGTTTCCTGACAGGATGCAGGACCAAAATGTAGAAACATTTCTGCTAAGACTAGAATGGATTAATTTCCATGCTTTTTTTCTAATTCAACCTCAATCAGTTTCGGGGACTCGAGTTCAAGAGTGGGATATAGTTGCTTGCTATCTGAGCCTTGATTTATTTATCCTTATTGAGATGGAAGGCAATATTTCGGCTATTTGGATGGAGCCGTCTATCCTGCTTTAAGTGGTTTTGAAGGGTCCCGATTACGAAGCCTCTTCATACAGAGAACTGCAATTTTCATTGACTAGCCACAGCCGAGCAGCCGTAATGAAAGCTGTGCACCTGCTCTGTGCTCGGGAAAATGGAGCTTCCCATTGCCAGAGTCAATCAACTGTTGAATCTGAAAAATACTAAAATTGAACAGAACAAGCCACTTAGTGTTTCAGTTTACTAAAGGTCACTGTCACATCCTTTCGAAGGGATTGTTGCTTTCAAATTGGCAAAGTTAGTACTTTTTTTCTCCATTAAATGTTGTTGATATTTGTCAGATAATTATACCTTTATGCCTACCTTTTTATAATAATGTAGTTCTTGATGTTTTTGCTGTAGTCAGAGCTGAGTTTTAGTGTGATGGCTAGACGTCAAGTGGCACGAGCAGCAGAAGACCACAGGTTAGCCTGAGTGGAAGAATGCTCTGTCCTAAACGCTTGTAACCAAATCCCCACTGTGGAACCACACAAACACTTGTGTTGTGGTACAGCAAGCGTTTGACTTACGGTGTGTTTCATTTGTATCCCAGCGTAGGTCCCCACAAGCCCTTATTAGGTGACTGTGTGGAAAAGAACAAGCTGTAAAGAATGCAGGATCTCTCCACGGCCGCACATCTGTGCTCCGCGGTCTCTCGGTACTGTGGAAAGTATTAAAGGGGGACTGGATCAAGTTTTTTTTCTTCGTTCCCCTTCTCAGTCCATAACTTTCTTACTGCCGTAATCTTACTTGGGCATCTTGCATCATATCCCTGCGTTCATTAATCACATCTTGAAAAAAAAAATGCTGTGGAGGCGGGAGGGGAAAATGCCTTGTGCAGCGATGGGGTATTAGGTGTCTCTGGTTTGGGGCTGTGCTAGACTAACTAGCATCTGTCATGAATATAAAACCATGCTGCTTAAATGAGGGGTACGTTTTGAGTTTTGATATAGTCTGGGGTCATTAAAGACAGACTGGTGCTGTCCAGAGTAATCAGACAGGAAGTTTTGTGGTGACGTTCCTAACAACCTTTTAGGGCATGAAAAACCACACTTAGCTATGACCGTGTCCTGAAATAGCCCACCTCCTGCCATGTCCCCTTGAAAAACGTAGCCTCAGATATTTCAGTCTGGTCGTTTTGTTACCTGGATGTGGATGAAAGAACCACAAGTCGGTTCATATGATGATGGCGCACAGGAAAATCTGTTATGATCGGGCCCAGACGGAATCTGTGGATGTTTTTCGGATTTTCCGCGCTTATTTTTCAGGGAAAATCTGCGGAATGAGCTTAGATATGGTAAAATGTGGTAAATGGAACAAAGAGTACTGAACACTTAACGGTGGATTAAAGTGTGACCAATATGCCAAAATATTTAATGAATAAACACGTAAAGAGTGGGGGATATGTAGAACATTGCCAATAATTATTTTAAAAATATATACATAATAATGATATGAAGAAAAGAAAAAAACACCCTTTAAAAGGTGTTTATATTATATATAAAATTAATACTTTCATTCAGCAAGGACATATTTGATCAAGTCACTGACAATTACGATATTAAAAAACTTCTATTTAAAATAAATGCTGTTCTTTTGAACTTTTTATTTATTTATCACGGTTTCATCCAATATATTAACCAAAACAACTGAAACACTGAAGACTGGAGTAATGATGCTGAAAATTCAGCTTTTCCTTCACATAAATAAATTACAATTTAACTTAATATACAAATTACATTTGTATATTAAAATAGAAAAGTTTTTTCACAATATTATTATTTTTACTGTATTTTTGATAAAAATAAATGCAGCCTAGGTAAACCTAAGTCTCATCTTTCAAAAATATTTTAAAAACCTTACCACCCCCAAACTTTTTACCAATAGTGTAAATAAAAGCATAATAGTAGCTTTTATGTTATATATTGTATAACAGAATACAATATATATGTATAATTACATTATATATATATATATATATATAACACTCACCTAAAGGATTATTAAGAACACCATACTAATACTGTGTTTGACCCTAGCCTGGGAAAACCCAGACAACTTCCGGCAAATTTAGATTTGCTCTGAAAGTTAGTCTAAGAGCTCATTCAAGCCCATTTCCAATCCGTCGAAATCGAGGCACCAATCAGAAACGTTGGGGCGGGCTTTACACGATGACGACAGCGCTGGGATTTTGAAGCAGATTTTGTAGCCTACATTACAAAGATGGATGATCGTCGAACATCACTCGTTCGAATCAGCCATCGCGTCTGTTTTAAGCGATTTGAACGTTTCCTTTTTGTTAAAAACCGAGCAAAGAACAACACTCGGAGATGTTTATCCACCGCTCTGCATACGTCATCTCCTTCATCGCTCTGATTGGTTTTAGGTCTATCCGCGACGTCCGTTGGTGACGCCCCTCTGGAAATGATTTGTCTATGACGCTTTGCCAGACCATAATTCAGTTACAACTGAGAATGGTCTGGTTTTAACCAGGCTAGTTTGACCCCCTTTCGCCTTCAGAACTGCCGTAATTCTACGTGGCATTGATTCAACAAGGTGCTGAAAGCATTCTTTAGAAATGTTGGCCCATATTGATAGGATAGCATCTTGCAGTTGATGGAGATTTGTGGGATGCACATCCAGGGCACGAAGCTCCCGTTCCACCACATCCCAAAGATGCTCTATTGGGTTGAGATCTGGTGACTGTGGGGGCCATTTTAGTACAGTGAACTCATTGTCATGTTCAAGAAACCAATTTGAAATGATTCGAGCTTTGTGACATGGTGCATTATCCTGCTGGAAGTAGCCATCAGAGGATGGGTACATGGTGGCCATAAAGGGATGGACATGGTCAGAAACAATGCTCAGGTAGGCCGTGGCATTTAAACAATGCCCAATTTGCACTAAGGGGCCTAAAGTGTGCCAAGAAAACATCCCCCACACCATTACACCACCACCACCAGCCTGCACAGTGGTAACAAGGCATGATGGATCCATGTTCTCATTCTGTTTACGCCAAATTCTGACTCTACCATCTGAGTGTCTCAACAGAAATCGAGGCTCATCAGACCAGGCAACATTTTTCCAGTCTTCAACTGTCCAATTTTGGTGAGCTCTTGCAAATTGTAGCCTCTTTTTCCTATTTGTAGTGGAGATGAGTGGTACCCGGTGGGGTCTTCTGCTATTGTAGCCCATCCGCCTCAAGGTTGTGCGTGTTGTGGCTTCACAAATGCTTTGCTGCACACCTCGGTTGTAACGAGTGGTTATTTCAGTCAAAGTTGCTCTTCTATCAGCTTGAATCAGTCGGCCCATTCTCCTCTGACCTCTAGCATCAACAAGGCATTTTCGCCCACAGGACTGCCGCATACTGGATGTTTTTCCCTTTTCACACCATTCTTTGTAAACCCTAGAAATGGTTGTGCGTGAAAATCCCAGTAACTGAGCAGATTGTGAAATACTCAGACCGGCCCGTCTGGCACCAACAACCATGCCAGTTTGGAGTTCAGGAGATTGTCTTGACCAGGACCACACCCCTAAATGCATTGAAGCAACTGCCATGTGATTGGTTGATTTAGATAATTGCATTAATGGGAAATTGAACAGGTGTTCCTAATAATCCTTTAGGTGAGTGTGTATGTATATAATGTTTTTTAGGCTAGTATGATGTGTCACAATTCTGAGGGGTGCAGAACTTTGAGCGTAAGTGTTTAAGATCCAGTAAGACTTCTATGACTCCATCATATCCTCATTCTCAAATGCACATAAGAATGTCAGACAAGCTTGTTGTTCTTTTGTCTTATTTGTTTCTCCCTCACTTCTTCCTCTCCAGCGGGTCTGCGAAGGAGTTTTCGTCTCAGCAGAAGAGATAAGAAGACAAATAAGTCCATGTATGAATGTAAGAAAAGTGAGCAGTATGACACAGCTGATGTGCCGACTTACGAAGAGGTGACAACCTACCGCAGAAAACACGGAGACAGACACAGACTTGTCGTGTTAGTTGGTAAGTATGACAAATTTGGTGTCTTTTTTGCCTTTATTTAAAAGTTTTGAGAAATGACAAAATGGAATTTCAAAAAAATTGTCTCTGCTGTGTTTAGTTTGGTTAGCTCAAGCATGCGCGCTTGGTATGTATATATATATATATATATATATATATATATATATATATAATTTTTTTTTTTTTTTTTTTTTTTTTTTTTTTACTGTTGAGACCACTGCACAAATCAAATCACTGTTTTGAGGCTCCACACAAACAGTGCTTTACCCACAACAGCACTTGACTGAAACCCATAATTCCTTTTCTGCTGTGAGACTTGAACTCAAACCCAGCCCTCTGAAGACCCCTGGAGCTGATGGGACCAGCTGAGGATTAATTCATCTATGTGGCACTTCATTCGCAGTGCTGGTGTTCTAACGGAACATTTTATTCCTCCTTAATATTATTCACCAAAGAATTGTTAACACTTGTTTTCAAGGGAACAGCGAGAGCGAAACTCCAGTGAGACGTCAACTTTACAAAGTGAAAAAAAACTTGAAATATTACATTTTCGAATGTCAGATTTGGTGTTTGTTTGCCAGTTATTCTGGACAGAGGATATAGAGGCCAGAACAATGAATTAAGTGTTTCATAAAAGTGTGAATAAAAAGTAATTTAGATTTGTATGACAGATAGTTTGAGGGTTTCAGGTTCCCTTTTTCTTCTTTCTTTTTTTTAATAATGTTGAAATGCTGAATTACCCTCTTCTCATCGACCTCCTCCACTATGAATTAAGTTCATAATTTATTTTTCCCAGTGTAAGGGGTTTGTTGTTGTGAAAATTTCCTCATATACTGACAAGTAATGTTGACCAGGTGTATAAAATATTTCACGTACAAATCTGTGAGGTAGCACAGGGTCATGGTTCATCGCAATAGACCAGCCCGTGTGTTTGTGAACGCAACATGGCATATGGATTCTATCACAGTTTTGTTGGTGCATGTAATTAATGGAGTGTGTTTTCACATGCCTGTATGAGCGAATATATAAGGTGGTCTGTTTAATTAATCAAGCTTTTTGTACTGTCCGGATTCCCCTTTGGTAATTTGCACCTCATGCAGTCTAACGCAAATATTTTCACGAGTTTTGTCTCGTAAGGTGGAGGGCAGCATCATGGATGTATCAGACGTGACAAAACCAAGGATGCAGAAAAAGGGTCTGCTGTGTTTTCTCTCTGAACTGTTATTCTGTCCCTTGAGGTCATGCTTTAACTTTTCCTGGCCTGCACTTCTACATTTTTTTCCCTCTGTCTTTATTTCATCATCTTTGCCAGTTATTTTATTGCATTTAATAATGCAGCCATCAATGATGCCATTTGAATGTCTTTTCCCTTATACATCTCTCTTTATACTCTATTCCTGTAGTTGTTGTAGTCATTTCTCTTTTCTTGCTATTGTCTTTGCAGCTTTGAATGAAAGTGATTCATTTGAAAGCACATTCAACTTTTACACTCTCATTAGGTGTTTATTCCTGGCTGCAGACAACAGGGTCAGGCAAATTCACCCTTGAATAAAATAGTCTTATTCCCCTTTGCTTTCTCTAACACGACTGACCCACGGTTTGTGGTTGGGTTTCAAACGTCTTTCCAGACGGATCAAGATCTTATCTATTTGGATACATATTAATCGACCAGCCAAAGTCAACACATTTAACAACTGTGCAGCTTCGCGAACCCGCTGTAGTGTTTTAACTGAAACCTGATTATTTAACATAGCAAATGATCTGTTTTTTTCTACATGTTTGAGTTAAGATTGAATAGATTTCAGTTGATATAGTGGTAGTTCAGACCCAGACAGAATAACGGTGGAACAGAAGAATGACCATTGAGGAAAACGGTGATCTAAAGGAGCTGTCGGATCAGATTCACTATTTCATTTTATGTCAAAATTTTTATGCTCTTTCCAAACATCTCTGTCTGGGCTTTTATAATTGAACATTACAATTTGGGCTGCAATGTGTTGTTTCTTCCTAGAACTATCAAGTATAATTTTTACACATCTGAGCAGTTGGCAGGGTCCTGCACAAGTAGCGTAGTGCCCAGTCTCTCCAAAGGCTTAAACTATTGCCAAAAAAGCTTTGTTTGTGAACTTATCACACACATAAATGTGTAGAAAGGTTATATATCGGACACACTTGGTGGAATATTTTGATGCTGATAATATGAGGACATGATGACTGTGTTTTAGGAGCGTTGAGAGAAGGTTGGATGACGGCCCCCCATGTTTAGCCAGTCTAGCAGCTCCTCAGGGTTAACTGCATCTGCTCCGCGCTTGGCCTGGAAGTTATTAAGCCTTTCATATTAGCCTTCTCCCCTAATGAGCGCCCTAATGACTACTGACACTTTTACAACCACTGCAACCTGCCCCCTGTGAGTGCACATATACACTTGGATTGAAAAACAATTACTCAAATGTGTTATTTTATTGGGGCTGTTGAAGAATAAAGGGCTAGTTTTTGTTTGGATCATTAAAGCGTATGACAATGAACAGAATAACCAGGAAAAAATACACAAAGGCAAGTCAGTTAACCTCTTTGACACACCAACATCTCAGTTGAATGCTGTTTAGACTGTGGTGAGCTGGATGGCTGCTTAGTGCTTGAACTCGGACTACAGGTTTCAATGTTGTTTGTGGCTTTTGGGACACAAGCAGCCATACATCAGAGATGGGGCGAGCCGCTGCAGAGATGAGTGATCGAGGGCTTTAAACTCATTAAGTGCACATGATGAGTGAATAGAATTTTGAAACGGTTTCTATGTGAGCCTAGGAGCAGGCAGTCAGGGCCTGGTGGGGTCTAGAGATTAACATCTCAGAAAATACTGTTTGAGTTTGTCGGTCCTTTTAAGAGAACGGAGCATTTGTGGATAAAATATGGCTAGTTTGAGGAAATATTACTGTGTATTTTTTTTTCCTTTCCCACCTACGATATATATATATATTGCACATAAACATGCACTTTTTACATATGGCTCAAACAGGAGCTCTGAATTACTCAGTGACCCTAAAACACTTGAAATAATTTTGTTTCCTCTCTGTAATAAATCAGCATCTTACTCTTCTCCTCTATCACAGTGGAATAAGGATAACATGTTATGCAAAGGCATAGGCTTCTAATAGAGTCATAGGTGTGTGTGTGTCAAAGTGTATGATGCATCAAATGAAAATGTGTATTCTCCCTGCGACTGCGAGTAGGAAAAACATCTGTTTTGTGTTCTCTAACATATAGATTTTGATTTGTGCATGTCTCATAGCAATCATTAAAGTCTAATAGAAAAACCACACTTGACTATCCGCATTATACAGTGTGAATCTTGGCCTACCTTTAACTGGGCCTTGACATGCAGAATTGCATGAAGGGATTGAATCTCTGTTGCTGGTATTGTTTTTTTTTTGCTGCATATGAGGTTCAGACTCTGACTACGGGTACAGAACAACTCATGATTTATAGTGAAAAAGAGATGCAAGTATGAGAAATGGATGACTCAAATCTTTCCCTATATCATGTCCCTTCCTAGGGCTGGGTAATGTATATAATAAAATTTGGGATTAAAAATTCCCATTATGTACACTATACGCTATTGTTCAAAATTTGGGGTCTGTAAGATTTTGTAAAAACACAGTTAACTATATTATTGTAAATTAATATTTTAAAATGTCATCTATTTCTGTGATGGTCTTTGATGAATATAGAATTAAAAGAACAGCAATTCTTTGAGAAATCTTTAAGAAATCTTTTGTAACAATGTAAAAGTCTTTAAAAGTATAAATTAAAGTATTAAATAAGTGACCCCAAAAGTTTGAATGGTAGTGTTTCTTTGATAAAACATTTTAATTCATAAAAGGTCTTTTGTCTTCTTTTTTGACAAAAAACAAACAAACAGAAGTTTGTAGTATAAAAACAGCAGTATGAAATAAATGTTAAGCAAGATATTAATGGACTCTTTCTCATTGTCTCTGCATCTCTCTCTGTTTGCTTCTACAGGTCCTACTGGTGTTGGTTTGAATGAGCTCAAAAGGAAGTTGTTGATATCCGATCCACAACATTTTAGTGTCACCATCCCACGTAAGTGCTTCCTAGTGTGTGTGTGTGTGTGTGGTGGTTATGTGAGCGACAAAGAATAAGACAGTACTTTTTTCTAGTACCCATTTATACACTCTTTCTTTGGGTACAGTATTGTCACCTCATCAGTCTGTCATTGATAACAGCTCTACTTGACACACTTCCCTGGCCTTAGCAGCAGTGTCCATGACTGCCACTCCTCTTTCCTTTCTTCAGCATCCAGAAACATATCATCCAGGGAAATACACCAGACAAGTTATTTTTAGGACAAATAAATAGGGCTGTGACTTATGTATTTAAACAGACTGACACTGTGGATAAATTGCAAATTTAGAGGCAGTAAAGCGAGAGACTGTGCTTGAGAGTTTGAGGGAGTTGGAGACAGTGGCTAGAAAAGCCTTGACTGTTGATATAACAGATGTTTGTTACATTCAAGCTTGGCTTTAATAAGAATGTCTGATTCAGGCTTTGACACTTTGAAATGCCACTGGTATTAATTTCTCATCCAAAGCTTTTTGCCGTAATGCTGCCTAATTGCTCACAAATGTGACCCCTGCATTAGTCTGTATTATGTAGCCCTCCTTACCTCAGACCTTACGGAGGATTAAGATTAAAGGGATGGATTCTTGGAAAGTGACTGTTTTAAAAGTGCTTTTTGGTCATCTTTGCCCTTTTTATTTCAATCCTGCCAGCTCCAACTCTCATTGTTAATATGGAGTGATTAAACATTAAATATCTTTCAATTTAATTTCTCTAAAGAAGGCCCAACATGGGCGATTGCTTCACATTTCCAACAATTGGGTCTTTTAAAACACAAACCAGCCGTGGCAGCAACACTAGCAAGATTGTAGAATACGATTAGTTGGGAGCACTTGAACATTTTGTCTCCTCTCCAGCCTTTACTGCTATTTTCCATGATCTTAGAATGAAATTCAAATTCTTTTGCCACACCAAAAACATTTCCTATGCCACAGAGCTAATGCCAGATGAAATATATTCTATTTCTTTCAGCAGTACAAGGGGAGTGACTTTTTTTTTTCTTTGTTTTGTGAGCACCAGCAGTTGGAGGTATAATAACATGTTATCTTATGTCTGCGGTGGGCTGTCATCATGGGAGGGGGGGGATGCCTCTTCATCAAATATGTGATGGGTTGAGGGTAACTAATAATTTACTCCAATCCCACCCAAACCATACATCATTGTAAGAATCTGTTTTGGTGCTCAAGAAACATTTCTTATCACAGATGAAAACAGCTGTGCTGCTTAATATTTGTGTGGAAACTGTGGTACCTTTTTTGGATTCTTTAATAATTAGAAAGTTCAATGGAACAGTATTTGATTGGAAATCTTTTGTGATATTATAAATGTCTTTACTGTCACTTTTATATAAAAGTATGCATAAAAAGAATACAGGAAAAGTACCAATACATGACAAATAGATAGAGCGATAGAGGCCATTCAAGAGGGGCCTTGAAAAAGCAGAAGGAAAAAAGCAGGGGAAGAAAAAACCTGGAACAAGGCGAGTTGGAATGGTGATAAAGTTTAATAGTTTGTTTTGGAGCTGCTGGCGGCTTGCAGACTATTTGTCGGAGGTGTGTTCTACAGCGACCTTTGACCTCCCCGACACTCGTTAAACACACACCGCTGTGTGTCTCTGCATGGCAAACTTTGACCCTGGCTGTACCCGCCGGAGCCGTGCTGGCTGGACTGGCACGCGCCGTGTGATTTAAAGACAGGAGTTTATAAGCAGCTGAAAGCAGGAGCGGGGCTTAATGAGGGACAGAGTAAACTCAGTGCTGGTACTGTACCATGTGCTCCTGGGGCTTTACGAGCAGCGTTACACTCACACTGGCCTTTAGAAGCCTCGTGGTGAGTTGAGCCAAGACAGACGGGGTGGGTGTGGCGTCAGACCTTGGAGAGGTGGTTTATTTTAAATAAAATTAAGTGGGAAATAAAGTGCCCATGGGGAACTCCCTTTAATCAAGGAAATGTCTGTAATGAACGTTTCTTCACATGTTCTTCTTGAAGCACCTTCAACCTCTAAATTATTCCAACACAGTGATCTAAGAAACACTGCTGGGTGTTTTTTTTCTTCATTTAGGGACAAAGTATCTAATGCCATTTAGGGCTGAGTAAAAATGTTAAGTTTTTCCCAATTAATCGCAATCTTCATTTGAAAGATCCCACCTCTATTGTTAAAATTCTGTGATTGAGCTTTTATCAATCAATTTTTAGTGGCTGTGTGAAAATGTATCTCTAAAACGCTTCCTGTCTAAAGCGCCTGTCTAAAGCGCTTTCCTCGGCTGCATAGTTTGGGCCTTGTCAATTTTTTTAATGAATGTGTTCATAATGTACTGTACCAAGTTAGAAGGCTGTTCTCCTCATCCTTGTGAGCTAGCTGCTTGTAGAACATCCTGTACAATGTGACCAGTGTAATTCGATTTGATAACAATTGTGTCTTCTGGAAATTTAGCCAATTCTTTTAATAATTTTTTTTTACTGTTCTGACTCAAAAGCTTGTGATTCAGAATTGATTTGCTCAGATTTCCAGCCCTAATGCAATTACATTTATGTTAAAACTAGAGTTTAAAATGCTAAAACTGTACTAGATCTCTTGTTCTCCAGTCATGTGGGTGTGCTATAGGTTTAAGTTTTGTAAAGGCTGGAATACACTACACAACTTTTTTCCGATTTACTGTCTGGATGAGTTGACGCTGGTTGTCGAAAGTCAGACTCTGTCTTCAGATTTCAGTTGACAGAATTGATTTCACAGAAAAACGCTAGCCATAGGTTTTTTTGGTTTTTTTTTTTACGATTCTATCTAGTTGGAGTATAGCAAACAAGTTTGATATTTTGAGCCGGTTTTAGAACACAATGTTTCCATTTGTAATGTGTGTCCTAGCAATGATGTGTGTTTTTAAAATCTTCAGATTTAAAAAGTCATGTAGTGTATTCCTGTGTGAAACTACACAAAACCAACTGAGATCCCAAAATCTCTGTACCCATTTAAGATTTCAAATGATTTAAGATAAGAGGTGTCATTTCCCAATGTAAAAGTACTTTCTCTTCACTATGCCTTATCTTTCACAGACACCTCTCGATCGAAGAGACATCAGGAAAACGATGGGGTGGAGTATCATTTTATCTCCAAACACCTTTTTGAGGCAGACATTCAGAACAACAAGTAAGGCACGCTACAACACAATCTTTTTTTCTTTTTTTGTCTTGCTTAGATCGAAACACTACTGTGTATTATTTGGAATGAGCATATGAATATTTCTGCTGTGATTTGGATTGGGGATGTGAAAGTTTACCGTGGAGATTAAATAGTCAGTATTAATCATTGAAGTTTAGTGGACCGCTTCCTTTATTCTCAGGATTGTAATCATGTCAACCGTAACCCTGACACAAACACTCAACAGTGGGAGAGATATAAATCTGAGAGACGGAGCCTCCGTGGCCAGTTAGTATTCAACACATCATCCAGAGCCCTGACTGAACTTAAGTAAATCAGCACCCCAGTCAAAACACTATACAACAGTTTTCACTGATGTCGTCTGTCTCAGACGCTATGGCAAACATTCACCAGTTTTGCCTTTCGGCTGCCCACTATTCTTTTCATTTTTCCACTCCATTTCCTTCAAGCAAATTGTGTATGCGAGTGTGTGCTACTTGTGTAGCAGCATGATGTGGGCTCAGATCCCTTCTCTGTAAGCGAGAGTGAGAGGGTGTTGACAGGTGGTCTGTTTCTGTGAGTGCGCGCGCGCGAGAGAGGGGGGATCAGACTCCTTTTTCCCAGTGGTTGGTAAGCTCAGATTTGTATGCATGGCCTGGTGATGGATGTTTTTCTGCAGCCCCTCATCAGAGGATAAAACAACACAACAGGAACGCATATAGAATGTCACTTCGCCAGCAAACCGGGCGTCTTAACTGTCTTGTGGTGGAAAAAAACATGTGGTGGCTTGTTCTGTGGTGAAATGAACATCAGCATGAGTAAACCACAATTATCAATAGTGAGAAGAGAGTTGAGAACGAGCAGGATCAAGCAGGTGGGCACGAGGCACTGCAAGAGGGTTTGGAAGACAAATTTTTCCTATTTTGTCAGCATTTTCTCTTCTTTTCCTTTTTTGGTACTTGGTCTAGTTTGACTTTGAATTGACATGTTGCTCTTTTTTTTCTTCGTTTTTTGTCTGTATCTATTATGTAAAGGGGTCATGGCATGAGAAATCAAATTTGCCTTGATCATTTGATATATAATATGTCTTTGTACCATTAAAACATCCTGCAAATTTCATAGCTTAAAATGTCCTCCTCTATGAAAATATAACAGATCAAAATTAGCCTGTATGGCTAAATCTGGCACATTTACATGATGGACTTAAGTGCTCGTGTTAATTAATGTACATTGTCCCTTTTAAAATAAAAATTAAATAAACAATAAAATAATTATACATCATCGCACTATAGGACCCTCCCACTGGCATTCAGTTGCTTAACAGCTGACATTTGCCTACACTGGATGTGAGCATTACGTTGTGCCAAAAGCAAATACTCATTATAATCACTGACGCTGTCTACACTGGATACAGTACACAGATACGTGCTCAGTTTCTGACATACTCCACGCCCTTGAGTCTGTCGACAGACCTTTTACTGACCAGCCTTAAAGGAGCCGCCCCTTAAACACGGGTCATTTCAGACAGAGGGTCTAAATGAAGGCTGAAAATAATTGTTTTTAAAAAGGAACATATTAAAATAAAATGTCATGACCCCTTTAAAAATACATTAGAAGACATACATAGTGTTTTTTTATTTCAGTTTTCTTTTAAAATTAATCTTAAACTTTTTTTATATCATAACAAAGAAAGAAAAAAAAATTGACAACATTTTGTAAAATGTTCTATTGTGTGAATTTAAAACCTTACCTTAAAATATTTTAAAACATTGTTTTTATGGTATTAAGATGTGTTGAGAATTCTAGGAAAATGTTGTTATATTTAAATCTATTATTATCAGGTTTAATATTTGAGCTTTTCTTGAAATTGGTTTGAACGATTTTGAAAACATTATAAAGCCAACGCATGAATATAAGTTATGAAAAACCATGTGAAACCAACAAAGAAAAATGCTATTATATGTTAGTTAGTTACACAACATGACAATTTTAAAGTCATTACATTTTAACTTTTCCTGAAAATGGTTTAAATGAATTTAAATTTAATTTAATTGATTAAATTTATTCTGCCTTCCAGTGGGAAAATGTCCACTCTCATATGCAAACATGACCTTGGTATTCCCAAGGAAAACCCTGCTCAGGGCTAAAAACAGAGCCTAAATGAATCCAAAAACCACAGAAGCAGCCTCCACCCCGCCATCAATACACGCACAACATCATGACAACAAACGCCACAACACAACAGTTCTGTTTAAGCACATCTGCCTTCAAATGAACGCTCAAATAAATAGGCACTTTGAGAATTCTTGGTAACCCTACATGTCACATTAACACCAGCAAACCACCTCTTAGCACCCAACAAAATTAATTTAGCTCACCATCAAAAAACGGCTTCAATGAAAGAGTCTACAGGCTTTTAAAACATGCCGAGTCGAAAAGTGGCAAGGAGTCACGTTAGCTTCTAAATATGATCGCCCAATCACAGGTTGCTGTTAGACCACATGGGCCCAAAAGTGTGAGTGCGTTTATAGCTTTCACTTCAAAGACTTGTTGACATTTGGATTGATACTTGGGGAAAGATAAAGACAGCTGTACATACAGTATATAGAACATTTTACCAGTTTCAGTAGTGGTAATTTTAGTCACGTGTCGCATAACCAAATTTTCACTATGCACGGAATATTACGACACCCTGCTGTTGTAAGACTCAGTCATTCTTCTGGAATACTTTCCACATCCTTCCAAATTGCTCTGCTTTACGGATGTCCTAAAAATACATGTCGTTGTTCTGTGATCAGAGAAGAATCAAGTGATTGGATTGAACGACAGGGAGATTAAATGGTGGAAAAGTGTTTGTTTACCTTCGTCTTCTCAGAAAGTCAAGTAACTCTTGCATTTGGCATTCAAGCCTGCCTGTGCTGCAAGGAAACAGGTGTTTTAGATTTAAACTGTAACATAGAAGATTATTTAAAAGAGCCTTGTGTCAGACTGTCTGGAATTGCCATGTGGGGAAGAATGCAAGAGATGAACACACCGTGCATGTCTGAGCGGCCTTTTTCACTGAAAGCATCAGGACAGGCTTGGGAGTAAATAATGGGTTGTGTTTCCTGTCATTATCCTGTCCATTGGCTTTTCTTTATATCCTAGGGTGGGTAGATTCACGTAGATACATTTAGAGCCATTAATCATTACATCAAACCCATCCTGTTCTTTTTGTCATTTTCTATGCCACAGGTTTATTGAACAAGGAGAGTATAAGGGAAATTACTATGGGACGAGCTTCGATTCTGTACGTTCAGTCCTGTCTAAGAACAAGGTGTGCCTTCTTGACGTACAGCCACATGTGAGTCTCTCCGTTTCTCAGATACACATTGTACCTCACCGTTTTACCTCCCTCTGCGTCACTCCATTCTTCAGTCTCTTTTCCAGATTTATTTCCCCCCCTTTCACAGGTGTGACATTCCACACTATTCCTACTGGATCTTTTCTGAGATCTCTCTCTCCCTCTGTGTGTGTGTGTGTGTGTGTGTGTGTGTGTGTGTGTGTGGACTCTTACTTTTTATCTTAACAGATCTAACATTGTCTCTACTAATTGTCCCATGTTTGAAAATGTCCTCAGGCTTGATGTCAGGGTGAGAGAGTAGTAGTTAAAAGAGGAACGGTTGAGTCTTGGCAGAACTGTATCGGTGTCCACAGCAAAGCCAGTGAAAGACCCCTGTCACCTCTGTCTCACACATCTTACTTTGGTGGTCTGAGCCTGGCTTCTCTCTTGGAGTAGTGAGAGAGAATGAGTCAATGACATCATGGTTATCTGTATTATCATTGTTTCTGTGGGTCTTAAAAAGGTCTTAATTCACCCTTACACAAATTAAGGTTAAATCAGAGCAGAAAGTAAGTTTCTTTACTAAGTTTAAATACTTTAAACAAGAACAAATATCTGAGATATTAATTTTTGTTTTAATCATAAATCACTTCATATTTTGTTGGTTTGCATCTCAAGTAAATGTATCTTGATTTAAGAATCTTTAGACACTTGCACTGGGAAACAAGACACAACTACTGAGGAAGAACATCAGCTTGTTTTAGTGCAATCAGGAGGTACAGTAAAAGTCCAGTGGGAGCAGAGGCATTCAAGCTATTTTATTTATTTATTCTTTGTGAAATGAATTAAAAAGCAACCGATATCTGTTCTAAGCAAACTCTCAAGTGCTGCTAATACAACTCATTGTGCGTCTCCCTAGACATTTACATTCAAACAACATATTGATGTATTGTGTTCCCTTTGATTTATTCCTTAAATTTTCTTTACTTGCTCTTAAAAAGGTCTTAAAGTCTTACATTTACCTTCATAAAATCTGCAGAAACAGGACAAATCCTTGTCCTCTGGTTCTTGTCTTCCCATATCTCTTGTCTCTTTATTGATTTATATTTCATTCACCTGTGTATCACCAAGGAAGTCTGTAATACCTGAAGAGAGCTGTATCTGTTAGCATTCCCATTCATCTCAATGGTGCCTACACTTTCAATTGAGAAAGATGCTTTTTGAAAATAAAAATAATAAATGAAATTATAAAAATGGTCAAGATGTTGGTCCAAACCCTTATGCTGTTATTTAAGCCCACAAAAGACAAAAAGAGAATTACAAAATAAATAAATGTACATGCTCCTGTACAGCAACATTTCAAGGTGAAAAGGTTAAAGGTCCATTTTAAAGGAGAATTAGCGAAATTATAAGTAATGAATTTAGCCTATGCAGTTTGTACACTATATTCCACTATATTCTTATGAAGCCATTTGATAGCTTTCTACGAAGAAGAGACTGAAATTTAAGTTATTATTCACTGGTAATCTTTATCTCAAGAATAGCTCTCCGTTTTGACATTTGTAAGATGGACCCAGAAAATCTACAATTCAAAGCAATCAAATCAATAGTTATGCATATACAAAATTCTTTTTTTTTCCAGGTTGAAATGTGAAACTATAGCAATAAACTTAAATATAACAAAAAATCTCAATTAAAATATGCTGCATCATATAGCTTCAAAAAAGGCCCTAGGCATTTGTCTGCTTTCATTTGAAACAATATGAAGGTGAGTAAATGATGTCGACATTTGAATTATTTGAATGGAATTTTCCTTTTAAATGTACTGTGGCAGCAACAGCCCGTTTAATTCTAGGCCTAGAAAGAGGGAGGACAATTATGGTGAAAAACTAGCTTATGGTAAAACTTGAAAAATCTAGTAATTCATTCAGTCAGTTGAAAAACCTCCACAGAAATACGTGGTAAAGTTCAGTGGTCTGAGTAGTGGATCTCGACTACCTGAGGTGTAATGTGTCAGACTGGGGTGCTTTATTTTCACTCATGGAGTCAGATCAGTTGAGCTCAGTGTGAATCAGCTGCTCTGTTTTCTGTCAAAATGTAACAGTGACTAACAGCAATAATGTTCAGAAGTATCAGTGTCAAACTAAATCATGATGGCATGAGTGATGCTGCTTTAATGACTGCGGTTCACATGCTCTCTTTATCTTTCTCCCTTTTTTTTTACATTCTCTATCCATCAGACGCTAAAACATCTTCGCACGGCCGAGTTTAAGCCCTACGTGGTGTTTGTGAAGCCTCCATCCATCGAGCGTTTGAGAGAGACCAGGAGGAACGCAAAAGTCATCTCAGGCAAAGAAGATAAGAACTCATCCAAACCCTTCTCGGTAATACATGCCACACACATTTTTAACTTCAATCTGTCCATCTAACATCCTCTCTCATCCTGAAGGAATCTCTTTTCTCTCTCAGTAAGTCAGTGTAGGTTTTAGGTTGCATTCACAGTTTTTGTTCCACTATCTCACATAGTTCTTGGTGAAATAAGAAATAGATTTCATCACTTCCTGGCAGACAACATCCACATCATTTATTATAGTCATTTTCCTCTTGGACCAAGCAAACATATGTTGGGTTAGTGCTTAAACGTCTGTGTGTGTGTGTGTGTGCATTTTTGAGTAACCGGTCCCCTGGGCGGTAACCTGATATGAGACCCGTGAGCTCACACTACACCTGTATGACTGCACTCAAAGAAAAACACATGAAATCAATTAACACGTACACCAGACCCTTACCTTTTGCTGCCGTTAGTTTTTGCTGTGTGTGTGTGAGAGAGAGATATGGTGTGAATATGCGGGGTATCTATCTAATGATTTTCCCAGAGTTCAGCTCTTGCCTATGTATCTCGCTGTTATTCTGCACCAGGAACAAGCACGCGTGCTACAGAATAAGTGACCCCGGAAACCCGACTCCACCACACGCCGAGATGGCTTGATGCCGATTGTCACCACAGAGACGTTCCGTGTCAAAGACTGTCAAATGCGTTTAGGAGCTCTGAACATGTGCTCACCTGTCAACCCATTGACCCAACAAGTGTCCAAACGCAATATACTCTTTTTCCGTCTTTTATACCACACAGATCAGGAATGGTAGCTAATTTTGCTCAGAAATTCCATGCTGATTCAACTGAATGCTAATTTTCACACAGCAGCTTTGGTCTGTTTATCCATTATGATTTCATAGAAGCAACTGCCAAAATATAATTGATTTCTAACACACACAACATGTTGCCGATGTAGCTCATCCAGGCTGCAGTGTGACACATATGTTACACAGTAAGACTGCACAACAACTGACATTGAGGAGTGCATCTGCATAGAATTTTTTTTTATTTTTTTTTTATACTTTTTACTCAGTCTAATTTGCGAGGGTTGGACGATTTGGGAACAAACTTGAAAAACTTGGATGTTCACATTTGGGTACTCTTTACAAAAACACAAACCTCTTACAAGAGCAACAACAAAAAAATCTCTTTCCACTTTTCGTTGGCCACATTCCCACTGTTTTTGATTGAATATTAATGACTAAAATAATGGATTTCTATTGTGATTTAATGAAATAATAGAAAAAAATCAGTTACAACTGTAGCTTCTAACTGTCTTTTCTTAAACATTTCTTTTTTTAACATTAAACTATCGCTTTTATTTTGTTGCTTTGCCGGAAAAATATATGCGCTGCTGGTTTCAATGATGAAGCACGGCACTATAAATTTACACGGGTGCAGTTCATTCAAGCCGCTCTCAGATGCTAAAACTATGTATCATGACCAGTATTTATGTAAATGAACAGTGCCGAGCTTCACTCTGAAACCAGCAGTGCACTTATTTAATTAGTTAAATCGCAGCCTTCGCGATTTGACTCTTCCATTAAGCAAAATACCAATATTAATTTTATTTTGATATATCATGCAGCCCCAATATGCTGGCTCACAATTTTATACTAGCAGCATATTTCATTATTTTTATTTCAACACCTTTGAAACTGAATAGATGCTGGTCACATTAATTCAAACCGCTGAATGTGCGATTAGACCACACCATACTCCCCAAAGTTTTAAATTCGCAGAAAGCTCAAGGATTATGCCGTTGTCAAAGGGAATGCTGCTCTGGCTATCTCTGTTGTCAGAGGAACTGTACCAAAAGCTGTCCGCACCATCCAAAGCAACTGTCGGCCTGCTTTCAACAGGTCATTGTGGGTACAAGTGAAGGAAAAAGAAACCCTTGCTAGCTGGCAAAACTTAGCAAAAGTCGATTATAGACCCTGACAGTGTTAAAGGCATCCAGATTCAGCCTATTATAGATATGCAAGAAAAATCGTGTTTGATGAAATGTCACAGCCATATTTTATCCAGGACTTTGCTGTATTTCTTTCTCAGAGAGAGACACTGCATCTGTTAGAGTCATGAGCTTCAGAGCCGTCGGCTCTGTGCAAGAAAACAGGCATCTCTTTGTTTCTGTGAATCCAGACTTTCACCCTATTGTTCTCCCTTTTTTGTAATACTTGTATAACATTAACAGTTTTCTGTGTGTAAAAGATCAAAATATCATTCATTCTCTTTTTAGGAGTAGCAAAAAACCTGGAAATTTCCTAAAAATGTCATCAGAGGTTAGAAGAGCAGTGTTTCATCGTCTGGCATTAAATCGTCGTAATGAGGAATGGAAACATAAGCTAAAATTTGAGGATTTTTTTTCTCTTTTTTTCTTTCTTTTTTGTCCTGTGCTTGGTGAAAGTCAGCCCAGTCCACAGATTAAGTCCCTTTACTTTGGGAATATAAAATCAAGGACCTCTTGGTGACCCAGAGATGTCCTTTTTTGAACGGGTTTAATGGTAAGGGCAGGTGCACTTTATATGATCCAATAAAAATTGATTTTCCGGCAAGGATTGAGAGATAAGCAGAGCTCATGCTCACTGTAGAGGGAGAGAGAGATGGCTTAGTACTGAAGAAATGCTCCTTTTTTCGAAGACGGAAGACCTGGATGTTGAGTGAGAGGTTGCATTAGAGCCTCTGGGAAATAAACAATCGGAAAGAAATGCAGAGGAAAAATGGATTTAAACCCTTTTGTGTTATTACCAAATCAGATTTGGTAATAACACTCCCCTGGAGGCACAACATCTGTTATACTTCAATTAGCATGAGGTTTTTATTTGATGACAGAATGAAGAAAAGATATGTTCAGACCTTGGGCCAAACCTTTGACTATTTAGGCCAAACACAAGCTAATCCACCACGTTCAACCAGAGCTTTATTAAAGCCATGACTAAGTCAATGAACTGCGACTTTTGATGCGTTCTGCCAATAACTGTCAGATTGAGAGACTGCTGTAATTTTCAGAATGCCAGCAGCTCTGTCTCCAAACTGAAATGTTGACTAAATCTTAACTCTTGATCAAGAGAGAAAATCAGGGAAGAGATGGAAATGGTTCATCAGAGAATGGGAGGAGAAGTTGCGTCTAACACTGGCCATACGCCATGGCTTCGCTTAGCTTGCTGTTGTTTTGTCTGCTAATGCCAATTTCCATATTTTCAGTGTGCTTAATAGATTCTCAGTACATTTTAAAACGTAAAACCTGGCCAAAAGCTTCTGATTTTCTTTTAGCATGGCAATATGTTTTATTATAGCATCATATCGCTCTGTGTGGGTCCCATGTTTTTATGTTGTAAAAGTTGAGTCTATATTGGTAAAGCCACTCAAACCATGCCATGTTCTCGGAGACTGGCACCAAATGCCAAGATTGCCCACATAAACACTTATTTAGGAGCCACACGCCCAGAAAAGTCCAAGTTAGAGAGTCCAGAGATAACTAGTCTATGAGATGCAATGTCATGAAAAAGTACTTGGGGGTGGGTGGTCAATGTGTTTGGTATAAAGTATATCTGATTTTAGCCTATTGTATTTTTTACAGTTTTTCAGTGATTTCAGTTTCTTTTGAACAGGGAAAATATTTAATGAATAATGATTGCTGATCATTTTATGGGGATTTTAAGCATCGATGTATAACATGCCAGGGTATAAAATTGAGGTCTGTTTATTCACTCCGCTGTTCCTGTGAGCAAAACCGCTGGAGATCCAGACCTCAAACTATAACCCTAACTGTGCACCACCTCAGTAGAAAATTAAATATCAGTTTATAGTTTTATCTTTTATCACATGTAGATATTTTTGCATTTCTGCATCTAAAGCAGTTTTATTGTAAACAAAAAAGAATAGTTTTTAATTAAGTCGATGTTTAGGGCATCTATGAAAGTTCTTTTTGGAAGCTGGTTTTGGGAATACTGTGGGAAAGTGTGTTATGGACTTTTTTGGGGGCATATTTCATGTCTTAAAAAAGAATGTTGACTGAATGTGTTTGTTGTTTAGGATGAGGACTTCCAGGAGATGATCAGTGCCTCTCAGATGATGGAAAACCAGTATGGTCACCTCTTTGAAAAGGTCATTGTGAACGATGACCTCACTGTTGCCTTCAACGAGCTCAAGCAGGCGCTCAGGAAAGTGGAGACAGAAACTCACTGGGTGCCCATCAGCTGGACTCATTCCTGAGGGGCTGCACAAAAGGAACAAAGGAACAAGGCATTATATTTTGGGGGGTGGAAACGAAGGGAAGGACTTTAAGAACTGTGAAAGATTTCTTTTTATTGTTTCTTTTTATTTTTTTGGCTGTAAATGGTGACAGGGAAAATATTTTAGTTGTCTTCTTAACACATCTGAAGAGGTTTATCTGTTCTTGGGGACTAAAGTGGAAGAGCATAGGTTTGCTTTTGTTTTGTCGTGGTGGATTTAGCTGAACGGGTGTAATTGCAGTCAGCAAACGTCTGATTGTTTAGCAGCCGCTAAGAGTGTTTAAACTGCCAATCAAGCGGTCTGGTGGTGTTGACCACTCCTTGGTGTATTTTTAACATTAGTTTATAGAAACCAAATGGATGATTATTATTTTTCTGTGCTCACTTTTTTTTTTTTTTTAGATCTTAGCACACTGCACTCCATTTGCCTGTTACTCTGCAGCTAGTTTGATCAGCACAGAATTAACCATATATATATATATATATATATAGGCAAGACATCATGTAATGTTCAGTGGGCCCCAAAGTGATTTTATTTAAATAGAAAATTAATATATTTGGATATTTTTTTGGACTTTTTTTTCAGCCTGTTCCCAGTTGAGATTTTTTAAATAATATCGGTTGTGAGGATTTTTTTTTTTTGGTCTTTTTTTAGGAAGTGCTCATGGCTAATCAAAGCCTCTGGGTTTTATTAATGTATAACCCGCTGTGTGCAGAAGCTGACTTCTTTATTTCAGTTTCATCTCTCTCTTTCTTTATTTCCTTTATTTCAGTTTCATCGCTCTCTTTCTTTATTTCCCTTTTCCTTCCATCTCCATCCTGTTGTTGAGGGCAGGCACTTGGAAAACACATAGGGGATGTACTCCATCTAGGCTGATTAGGCTGACTCTCTTAAGAGTGTTTAAGAAGTCTAATGGCAGCACTATTATTGAATCTCAGAGAAAATTGTTTAATGATAACCTCAACTGTTACAAGGCATTTCAGACAGGAATAGTTCACCCAAAAATGAAAATTCTGTTTTACTGTATAGGTTCAGAGGACTTTGAATATGGGACATGAGTCAAATAGACTTTGATGGTACTTTCTCATTTTTGGTGCTCAACAGTCCCATCCACCTTAACTTGTGTGTTACTCAGAAGACGGAACGTTGTACGGATTTTGTAACAACTAGTAGTGATACACTTTGACAACCGAAAATATTTGTCTAAAACAAAATAAAAAAAATAGGTTCCAACCAAAATATTTTTGATTGAAACAATGACGTTTAGTGTTTCTTGGATGATGCAATTAGACTGTCGGTGTCTATTTCATGCACACAACGTGGATAGGCTAGCAGTGGAGACACACTTCACCGTGAGAAAGAAGGTTGCTAAAGTAGAATGTCAAATTTGTTTAATGTTGAACAATGTCTCATTGCTGAAAAGGATGGTTCACCCAAAAATGCTATTTCATCATTTACTCACCCTCAAGTTGTATGAATTTCTTTCTTCTGTTGAACACAAAAGAAGATATTTAAAAGAATGTCAGTAACCAAACAGTTGCTGTTTGGTTACCGACATTCTTCAAAATATCTTCTTTTGTGTTCAACAGAAGAAAGAAATTCATACAACTTGAGGGCGAGTAAATGATGACAGAATTAAAATTGAGTGAACTATCCCTTGAAGAGCTGTTCTTTGACTGGTTTAATTTTATCATCTGAGAACACACCACACCAAAGAGCATATTGAGTTCTATGGTTTAATTTAATTACCCAAACTTTGTTTTGGTTTTCATCTAAATGACAACCTAAATTTCAGTTCATCACTAGTAACAACATGAGTCTGAGTAAGTGATGACGGAATTGTCATTTATTGGGTAAACAATCCTTTTAATGTCTGAAAAGGCCTTACATAAAGACATGCCACTAAAGACATGTATATTTTTGTTGTCATTTTGTTCTTATTCAGTTTTGTGTTCTTTCAGCTCATTGGTTTGCAATCAAGCAGTGTCAATCTCTTATGAACTGTTACTGTGTTTAGTACAGTCCACATACTGTAAATACACTGTAGTTTTGCCTTCAAAATCAAGGTGCACTAAAGTTTGTTCATTTAAACTCACTATGTTTGTCCTTACCCCGTTTTTCATTTATTTGTTTTCCCCCATACTCGCCTATACAAAACCGCTTCAAAACTTTTGTCAAGCTTTGAAGTCTTTCTTAATATGAAATATGCAAAGTGAATATTGTTTCCTGTATTTCAGTAATGTACCTCTATATACCGGTCTGTCCTCTGCCAAGTGGATGATTTTTGTGGAAGCCTCATCTAAACAACAATTCATGTACATCTATTGTTTTGTTCTGTCGATGATCAAGAGTTTACAACCTGTGCTGTTATAAAACATCCCCTCCTCCAAATGTACATTAAATATGTAAATCAGCTATGTTCTCTTTCCTTTTTCTCATGAAGAGACGGAGTGTTTTTGTTCCTAGTTCTGTAATTAATAACCAATGTTTCCTTTAATAGTTAATTCATGTCAGTATTCGCAGGTCTTCAGACACAAAGGGCCAGTGGGACAGACTCATCGCTCAGGCTTTGCTCGCTACAGAGATCTCACTGTCTGATGAAATGCCAAAACAAACCAGCAGCCAAAACAATGACCCATAATCCTCCAGCTCCCCCTCCATCACACAGTCCTGCCGCCGCCGCTCAGAGCTGATAGTGAGGAGATTGAAAGGGATGACAGGAAGACTTTAGACAGGAAGATGGATAGGATTTGAGTGTAGCTGGCCAGGAATAGGTAACAATGTTTTTTGAATGCCAAGTATATCTTGGATCCAATTGGCAAAAAAATAAATCACCATAAAAGTTTTTTTTTTTTTTTTTTGTATATACAATGGAAGTCAATGGTCACCAAAACTGGTTACCAACATTTCTCAAAATATCTTCTTTTGAGTTCAGCAGAAGAAAGAAAGTCATGCAGGTTTGGAATTGGATGAGGGTGAGTAAATGACAGGATTTTCACTTGAACAGTGCCTTGAAATTTCACTATTCTTCTCACACTACTCTATCATATGACTTCAGAAGAGTTGCAATGTAGTGCACAAGTCATTTGGACCACTTTTATGATGCTTTTGTTGTGCTTTCATGTCCTTTTGAAGCATAACATATTCAGTGCCCATTTATTTTAATTTAAAAAAAGCAGACCAGTACATTTTTCAAAATGTATCCCCATGTTTTCCATTAAACAAACAAAATATCATACTGTATTGTTTGAAATGACAAGTAAGGTTAGTAAATGACTGAATTAATCCTTCCAACATACAATTTGTCAAGGGTTTTGTTTTCTAAATTATGACTAAAAGCAAGAACAAGAAAAAAAGAAACAGGAGCACAAAATGTCAATGTTAAATCATTCATTAGCATTTTTCCCTCACGTCTTTTTCTTTAAACTGACAAACACATGAAGTGTTTCACATGACTGTTATATCTGGTAAAGCGTGGAAAAATTTAGATGTTGTAATACTGTTGTTGTAATAATGTGTTTGTGTGTAGAGGCAGGCCATTATACAAGTACCAACCTCCTCTGATTACATCTGTGTCGCAACAGGCCTGTCAGAGAGCCAGTGCCACTTACAGTCACGATGGAGCTCAGCAGGTTTGGCAGGAGTAAAATGAGGAAATGAGAGAGTGAGTCGGGCCGTTGGGGGAAAGACAGACCGTCTACTTTAAACTTAATCACCTCTGGTGCCGCCGCGCCTTAGCACTTGTCTGTCTGAGGCTGTGGCCATTGTGTTGAAACCGTTTTGATGCCTTCCTCACTTAGCACACCTCCTGATCTCTTTGAATCTGATCCTGGGGTAAAATGTCCAGCAGCCACTCTTAGTTTGTCTGTTCTCCCTGTTTAATTTTTATGGAGATCCATTTTTGTTTGTTTTCTCCTTGTGTCAGAGGTTCTCAGGATTCTCTCAGAGTTCCCAGGGCTCTTGTGATGGTGCCACGCCTGGCTTTTCACTCTTAGTTAAACCGTGTGTGAACGGTGTGGATGAATGATGCTCTGTTTCATAATAAGGTTGTGTTGTAATGTAAGCGAGACGCTCTCAGGAGGGAGGAATGAGTGTCTTAATGTCTCAAGGCCATGCATATTTCATGTCCATCAAGCGAACTAATGTGTGACATATTGTTTTTGAGAGAGACCCAGTGGCGTCGAAGTTTTTATTTTATTTTTTTGTTATTATACACCACCATTCAAAGTTTTGGGGTCATTACGATTTTTTGATGTTATTGAATGAATATCTCTTTCTCTCCAAGGCTGCATTTATTTGATCAAAAATACAGTAAATATTGTGAAATTATTATTGCAAGTCACATGATCCTTCAGAAATTCTAATATGCTGATTTGGTGCGCAAGAAACATTTCGTCGTCTTATAATATAAAAGTCTTTACGGTCACTAATAATATACCTTATTCAGAGCAGTGCCATGACAGGTATGAAAGCGAGGCTGTGAGGGATAGACTCAAAGGGATAGTTCACCCAAAAATGAACATTTTGTCACTTACTCACTCTCAAGTTGTTCCAAAGTTGAGTTTGTTTTCTTATGTTGAACACAAAGGAAAATATTTTGAAGAATGTTGGTAACCAGCCATTTGACAGTAGCCATTGACTTCCATAGTAGGTAAAAAATACTGTGGAAGTCATTGGTCAGCTGTCTGGTTACAAACATTCTTCAAAATATCATATTTTGTGTTCAACAGAACAAAGAAACTCATACAGGTTTAGAACAACATGAGGCTGAGTAACTGATGACAGAATTTTCATTTTTGGGTGAACTATCCCTTTAGCGTGTTTTCAATGGCATCCGCTGTAAAAAACCTGTATAAAGCTCCTAGATCACTTATAATTTTCCACAGCTCATTTTTGTCTACTGAAATTCCGCGGAAAGATAACAATCCAAAAACACATTAAATAACAGTAAAACCCACTGAAGAGATGTATGGCTATCCCTCACAGGCACGGCCTCGCTTTCATTCCTGTTTAAAATCAAAGATGGTTCTGCTGTGAATAAGGTCTATTTGTAGTTATTATCAGCAATGAAAAAATCTTTTTGGGAGTTTCATTGAAAATCCAATTTGCTCAAAAATCGGAGAGTGTATAACCCATCAGTTTAAACCGGCATGACGCTTCTGCTTTCCCTGACTTCAGCTCCTCAAGTATGAGGGTATCAGATGAAGAATCAGTGTTCACTATGTTTGACAAACCCTTTGTGTGTTTCTCTTATGTTTTCAGTGTTGCATCAGCCTAGTTGGTGTTCACCCGCGGACAGGAAAGCGTGTAGTCAGCTTAGGTTTCTGCCACACTGTCATTAATAATCAGCCAGCCCCGGAGAGGAACACGACCATTACTGCTGACACATCTTCATTTGAATGTAAGGACCACGTTCTTCGTTTCACATAGTCAGTCTCTCCCCCTCTTGTTCTGTTCTTTCCCACCATGCCTCTCTTGCATACAGTTTTACTCACTTAATGTCATTGAATAAGTCAATGACGTTAATTGAAGATTATATACATTATCTTTCTGTTCTCTGTGCCCTCTCCAGAGAATGAAATCATCTTATGCTTCTTTGAACCGCATCGTGACTCAATATATGAAGGTGGGGGAGTCAGAAGAGCATGGTTAAAATGAAAGCTGCTTTTTCCAGTCTGATTTAAAGCCCCAATATACTCATGACAAAGTTCTTATTCGTTCTTCGATTCAGTCATGTCACATTTGTTAATATCGCACTTTATATGATAGATTGTTTTAAAACAGCTTTACAGTTTTAAACTTGACAAAAAAAGAAAGTGTCATTTGCAATAAAGCAGCTCTCCATTGAGTTCATGTTTTTATTTGCGGACATCTAACCATGACGGACTGAACAGAAAAAATAAACCAAATAAGAGATTTTCAAATCAAAGAAGGCGGAGCCTCCTAACCTATTATGTAATCGTGACAGACCAGTGGTTGTTCAAAGGTGTTTATCACATACTTTGGCAAGTTTTGAACTCCCGAAAATAATCTCCAAACGAATGTTTGTTTGGCCTGATTTTGTTTGAAATGACATCACACCAGTTCGTTCTTTGATTTTGTCTGAAGTATATCAGGGCTTTAAAGCAACACCAAGGAACTTTTCCTCTGCGGTCGCCCTACAGGTTGGAAGCGGAATTGTCCTCATTAGAACTACAGAAACGCAACCCGATCTGGCAATCTTACATAGCGTGGATATACCAGAAAAGGACCGCAAAGCGGTGGCTTAAGTGCATTTCGCCATGTCACGACTTGATGAACCACTGAAACGATTTTGGAAACATTATTTGAAGGTAAAAAATCCTACTTAGTGTTGCTTTAAAGTGAACCGTTTAGCAAAGCCCTAAGAGGCCTGTTTCTTTTATTCAACTTTTCATGCCTCTCTTCTCCATAAATCTCTATTAATCAGGTCCTTTGTCTGAGGAACACAGAGTCAGTGATCAGGAGTTAGAACCATCCCAATGGTGTTCCCCCCTGCTGTAGGCCATTATTGGTAAATGACGAGGCCTCCCTCCTGATATACACTCCAATCATTTTGATTTAAAGGCCAATGTGAGGTTGTCTGGCCCCTTCTTCCTGATCCTGACCCCTCTCCTGTGGATGTGGTGTAAGCCTTCACTGTACTGGATGAGTTACACAGAGTAGAAGTGGAGGTGGACGCGTGGGTGGGTCACTGGGGTTAGGGGGTCTCTGAACTACTACTGAAGTTTGATATTCATCCAAAAAGAGACTCTGGAGGGATAAGCAGTCTGTCTCATGCTTACATTCTCATTATTCCCCAACTTCAGTCTCTCCACACGTTACTCTTCTCCATTTTGACCCATATTTCAAGCATTATCACTTGCTTATTCGCTCACAACAGCACATATCTCCTCTTTCTGTCCCCTTCCTGGCTGGATTTGAACACATAAGTCCTTGCGATGTGACACTTTACTGTCTGGCTTGTTAATACTTTGTCCTCATGCTGTGTGTCTGCTTTGGCTCTCATAGTCCACTCTGGTTTTCTCATCTGACCTTAGAGAGACCGAGAAAAGGGTAACAAGAGACAAAGAGGAAAGATATACGAGACAAAGGGTGGTAGAGTGGGTACAGAAGTGAAGAATGGGGTAAAAAAAAGTAAGGCTTTCTCTTATATAAACTGTACATTACTTCATGTCTGAGATGTAGACTTTTGCACGTCTGCTTAACCTTGTGCTGCTCCTCTTAATTAAAATGAGAACAACGAGACATCAGAGTATTACACCCTAGTGAATGTATTAGATGTAGATATGAATTTAATGTCGAACAGTGATGTCACCACTACTTGCATAACCATGTCTAAATTGACGCGTTTGGGGGTCAAAGTTAATTCACTTCATTTGATTATCAGCACTGTTGCAATCTAACTGATGTATGCAGAGTTGAAACAAGGTTCAGGATCCTGTCTGTTGAAAATATAATGACATCAGGAACAAATGAGTAATTTCGAGACATTATACTGACAATATTTAGACAATACGCAGAGGGACCACTGATGGTGTAAAGACAGACTGATGGAACGCATTGACTTCTACTGCTACACATGGACTGTTTTGGGAAATCATTGAGAATGTTTAGGGAATGTATCGACAATGTTTTCAGAACAATTTTGCAGTCTTGAGAATGTCGGGGTAACCCGTAGGCTACTAAGAAAAGGCACCCCATGTTTTCTTAAACTCTCCCTCACTGCTCTCAGTGGAGCCCCTTGACCCCAAACATCATGATAATTACATGACCAGAACAACCACACTCGTAGTTAACAGAGTTGAGTAGGCGTCACAAGCTAAATCATCTGAATATACAGTTTTGAAGTGAAAAAATGTCAAAGCTATGTGCAAATAGTGTTTGTATTTATTACGTTATGTTTTTATATTTAATACATTACATATTAATGTATTTTGTCATTCATTTTTTTGTTTATTGTATTTTATTTTGTATATTATAACTTTAAATATACATACATACACTACAATTCAAAAGTTTGATCGTCCTTAAGATTTTTTTATTTAAGAAAATATTTTCTTTCAGCAAGGATGCATTAAATTGTTCAAAAATGACAGTAAAGACGTTGATAATGTTACAAAAGGTTTCCATTTAAAAATAAATGCTGTTCTTTTGAACTTTATATTCATCAAGGAAGCCTGAAAAAAATGATTGACTGTTTCCACAAAAATACTGCGAATAATAAATCAGAATATTACAATGATTTCTGAAGGATCATGTGACACTGAAGACTGGTGTAATGATGCTGAAAATTCAGCTTTGCCATCAAAGGAAATACATTAAAATAGAAAAGAGTCATTTTAAATTATAATAATATTTCACAATAGTACTGTTTTTACTGTTTTTGATCATCAGATAAATGCAGCATTGGTGAGCATAATGGTCTTCTTTCAAAAACAATATCTTACTGACCACAAATTTTGAATGGTTATGTGTATTTAGTTTTTACTAACCATTATTTTTTTGTATTTTTTTCATATAGGTGGAGGACGCATTTGCACAATGGAAATGTTCACAAGCTTGATAATGAGACTGTAGGACTGTGTCTTCTCAACTTGAGTGAGAAGAATAAATGTGATTCAAGATTGGCCTCCAGACTTAAACACACACACACACACACACACACACACACACACACACACACACACACACACACTCATTGGGTACAGTGTTCAATGGCTGAGACTGTCTATCCTCAGACTTCGACATGGCAATGCTGAAGGAAACTGTGACAGTCACAATCATCATCAACCAACAAATATTCCCCTGCAGGTTATACACACACATGTTACAAACTGACACACACAGAAAGCATATGCACAAACTTGTGGTTAAGCAGGCACCTCAGTTTTGACATAACACACACTTAACACAAATTGGTCACTGTAGCCTCATAGGAGGATTTCTGTGTCTGTCTGTCTGTCTGTGCCTCATAGCTCAAAAATTCCTGCTGAAAATACCAGCTGGTGACCAGTATACAGTATGTTGTGTTTTAGATGGTGACTGTACCATAACTATCCTTAATAATGTTACAAAAGATTTCTATTTCAAATGTTTCTTTTGATCTTTCTATTCATCAAGAATTCTGAAAAAAATATTGGGATCTTTGTATCTTGGTTTCAACAAAAAATTAAGTAGCACAAATGTTTTCAACAATAGCTATGTTTCCATCCAAACGTATGAATTGAACTTGTTTGGAATTGGAATATCGCATAAAACCTTTGCGAATAAAGCAGCGTTTCCATCCCATGTATTCAAGACAACAAAACCGTCATGTCCTTGGAAACTGGTGCATAAATATATGGAAGTTGTTGCAATCCGGGAAGCCAGTGTGGCTCTTTTTTCTTATATCATAATTCACTTGTGTCTCAGAGCACGCAGATGAAATGCAATAAATGCAGTGATGCTATCTTGAATTCAGATGCCTGGTGTTTTGGAATGCATTTGTGTGAGAGTGAGACACTTCCGGGAGGTCATTATACCAGTGACACTGAAGCTAATGAAAGTAATGGCTAATGAAAATTTAGTAGATTTTTTTTGTTGCTTTTTTTTATTTTTATTAAATAAATGCATTATTGGTGAGCATAAGAGACTTCTTTAAATAAAAATATATACCAACCTCAAACTTTCGAACAGTGTATGTATACGTGTTTAAATTCTATACACTACCGTTTTATTATTTATTGTATTTTTTACTTGTATAGAACGGGATCAAAATGATGAATAAGCTGAACCTGGTGAACCTTCACAAGCTGACGTACTGTATTGCAAACTAAAACACAATACTGTGGCTCTGAGCTTTGCATGTGTCTGACTGAATCCTGCATGACCCGGTCTCTCTCTTTAACACTATGGATTGTTCACTTCTCAAGGGTGTATGGACCTCCCCTAGCAATATTTAACCCTAACAGGTTGTCATCAACTCAGAACATTTAAAGTGTGTTGCACATAAGATGACTCATGTAACACGCCATCAGCGCAAACGCAACATAAAAGAGACTTTTGCCCCTGACGAGAGCCTGGAACCACTAAAGCACTAAATCCTGGCCTGTGTGTAGAAATCCCTCTCTAAAGTAAGGTGCTGTGAAGTGCATGCGAGAGCGGTCACGTTTAATTAGGGTTTAAGAGGCAGATGTTGCGCACATCACTATCTGATCTGAGTGAGGGGAAAATAAAAGGCTTCTAGTTGTAAGAGCCACAAGGAATCGGTGTCCGCAGAAATCTCAATTCCACTGTTTTTCACTTGCTTTTTTGCTAGATTTTATTAGATTTTTAGGCCAATTTGATAAATTTCTGCTTCAAAGTAAAATAATGAAAAGGGTAACTGATTGTTGTTCTCGTATTTGCAACTTTATCTCTAATTTAGTTTCTTACTCCTCATAATTGCCGCTTTATATCTCCCAGTTGTGATTTTATATCGCATAATTTGATTTGAAATTTCTCATAATTACCCTTTTTATATACACTCACTTAAAGGATTATTAGGAACACCTGTTCAATTTCTCATTAATGCAATTATCTAATCAACCAATTACATGGCAGTTGCTTCAATGCATATAGGGGTGTGGTCCTGGTCAAGACAATCTCCTGAACTCCAAACTGAAGGTCAGAATGGGAAAGAAAGGTGATTTAAGCAATTTTGAGCGTGGCATGGTTGTTGATGCCAGACGGGCCGGTCTGAGTATTTCACAATCTGCTCAGTTACTGGGATTTTCACGCACAACCATTTCTAGGGTTTACAAAGAATGGTGTGAAAAGGGAAAAACATCCAGTATGCGGCAGTCCTGTGGGCGAAAATGCCTTGTTGATGCTAGAGGTCAGAGGAGAATGGGCTGACTGATTCAAGCTAATAGAAGAGCAACTTTGACTGCAATAACCACTCGCTACAACCGAGGTATGCAGCAAAGCATTTGTGAAGCCACAACACGCACAACCTTGAGGCGGATGGGCTACAACAACAGAAGACCCCACCGGGTACCACTCATCTCCACTACAAATAGGAAAAAGAGGCTACAATTTGCAAGAGCTCACCAAAATTGGACAGTTGAAGACTGGAAAAATGTTGCCTGGTCTGATGAGTCTCGATTTCTGTTGAGACACTCAGATGGTAGAGTCAGAATTTGGCGTAAACAGAATGAGAACATGGATCCATCATGCCTTGTTACCACTGTGCAGGCTGGTGGTGGTGGTGTAATGGTGTGGGGGATGTTTTCTTGGCACACTTTAGACCCCTTAGTGTCAATTGGGCATCGTTTAAATGCCATGGCCTACCTGAGCATTGTTTCTGACCATGTCCATCTTTTTATGGCCACCATGTACCCATCCTCTGATGGCTACTTCCAGCAGGATAATGCACCATGTCACAAAGCTCGACTCATTTCAAATTGGTTTCTTGAACATGACAATGAGTTCACTGTACTAAAATGGCCCCCACAGTCACCAGATCTCAACCCAATAGAGCATCTTTGGGATGTGGTGGAACGGGAGCTTCGTGCCCTCGATGTGCATCCCACAAATCTCCATCAACTGCAAGATGCTATCCTATCAATATGGGCCAACATTTCTAAAGAATGCTTTCAGCACCTTGTTGAATCAATGCCACGTTGAATTAAGGCAGTTCTGAAGGCGAAAGGGGGTCAAACACAGTATTAGTATGGTGTTCCTAATAATCCTTCAGGTGAGTGGAGGCAAACAGGCTACCATATCAGCTATCAGTATCTATAAGTGTATTATTATTAACACATTTCCCCCACAAAATCTGCACGGAATGATGAAAACTGTTCACTGATTCTGTTTGGGCTTGGTCAAGTTTTTGCACAATAAAAATATTCTAAGAGTTTTGGAGTACTAGAATTTTTACCAAAATAAGTTTAATCTTGAGCAAGGGCAAATACACACTTACCTTTTGAAGCCAGTGATATAGTGTAAAATCCCATTAGTTAATATTAGTTACATTACATTAATTAACAGTAACAATGAGCAATACATTTTTTACAATATTAATCAATATACATAAATAAAAATACAACTGCTAGTTCTCATTAGATAATATTAATATTAAAAGACACAACAATTGGTTTTAATAATGTATTAGTAAATGTTGAAATTAACATGAACAAAGATATATAAATACTTTAGAAGGATTTTTTTATTGTT